CTTGCTCAGTTGCCCAGGCTGAAATGCAATGCTGTGATCTTGGCTCACTGCAATCTCTGCCTCCCAGGCTCAGGTGATCCACCCACCTCAGCCTCCCTAGTAGCTAGGACTACAGACGCACACCACCAGCCCAGCTATTTTTTGTAGAGACAGGTTGTCACCATGTTGCCCAGGCTGGTTTTGAACTCCTGGACTCAAGAGATCCACCTGCCTCAGCCTCCCAAAGTGTTGGGATTTCAGGTGTGAGCCACTGCACCAGGCCATGATTTTTTATTCTAAATATTGAGCTTTTTCTACTACCTCTTGTGATCATGAATAATTGTTCAGATAAATCCAACAAGATTGGGATATTCAACAGTTAAAATGATTCGATGTTTCAACAAATACATGACATTTTAAAAAAAGAGTGGGAGGAGAAAACACTGTATATTAAAAGAGATGTATTGACAAAATGGTAAGTGTGACTTTTTTTGATCCTGATTAGCATAAACCAGTTGTAAAACTACATTCCTGAGACAATCAAGGGATATTCACCACAGAGTGGGTATTTCATAACAGTAAGGAATTAGTGTTAATTTTGTTAGATATGATAGTAGTAGCATGGCTGTGTTAAAAAGAAGTGCTTATCTGTTAGACCTATATACTGAAGTATTTGCCAGCGAAATAATCTGGTTATTTACTTTAAAATACTCCAGAAAATAAATTTAAAAAGTGCAGAGATAGATTGGTAAATGATGACAATGTTGATCATCACCGATGCTAAGGTTATTTATGTTACTCTACTTTTGTGTATGTTTGAAGTTTTTCACACAAAATTTTAAAAATGTAATTATTGAGCTTGTACTTCCTATAAAATACCATAAACATCCTTTATTATTCATCGAGTGTCCAACTTTTTTATTTTAAATTGGAGACAACCATAGAAGCCCTATATCATGAATCTATAGACTTCAGAGGTGCTAACTCATGCCTCTCTAACCTCACTAATGACTGCTGTGCTGAGATGTAAAATTATGCTTTGCCTTTAATATGTGTATACATAAGATAAAACTGCACTCTTCCCTGTATTGTTGTTACTTGATTCTCTAACTTAATAACTAACCCTTTCTAAAATTCAATTTAGCAAATATTTTTGGAATGATATACCAGGTTCCACTAGGCCCCAGAAACAGCAAGTGGGATATGAACATATCATTTGCATATATAATATGTAAAAAAATACATATAAATACATATATGTATATATCTATATGTATGTATAATGTATATGATAATAGAATTGATAAATTATGTATTAGCTATATTAAACATGTACAATGGAAAACGTAAAAAGAAACATGTAATGAAAAACAATGAATCATGCTTAATGTCAGAATTATCTTTCTATTCTATTTAAAAATTTACAAAATATAAAGAGGTAATCAAAGAGTACACATCCAGAAAATGCAGAAAACAGGTATTATAGAGGTATATTGGATAATTAATTTATAAAAATATTGTTATTTTTCTGGATTTGGGGATGTTTGTGGCATTTGTCAGCTTTTATAAATTTCTAGATAGTTGTTTTTCAGTTCAAATACTTTCATACCCAATTTTGCATTTTTTCCCCCTTAAAGAGGTTCCCCCATACTGAATAAACTTCAGGTGCCACACTCTTTGAATCTGTTTGGATGTCTATGTTTCGTCAGGCACTGTCCCAGGAGCTAAGGATACATCAGTGAACAAAATAGAGAAAAAAGTCCTCTCTTCTTTTGTGAAGTTTAGATTCTAATGGTGAGAAACAGACAAAAATATAATAAGCACGTAAATTAAATAGTATGTTAGATGGCTAGTGCTATGTAAAAAAGTTGAGGAGGGTCAGGGGACGGAGAGTGCAGGGCAGGGAGCATGAGTGAGGTAAAACTGCAATTTAGGCCTGGTGCGGTGGCTCACACCTGTAATCTCAGTCCTTTGGGAGGCTGAGGCAGGAGAATCACTTGAGTCCAGGAGTTTGAGACCAGCCTGGGTGACGTAGTGAGACCCTGACTCTAAAAAAAAAAAAAAAAGAAAAAGAAAAGAAAGAAAAGAAACTGCAACTTAAATAGGGTGGCCAGAGTAGGATTCACCAAGAAGGTGACTGAGCAAAGACTTGAAAGAATTGGTTACTGATAAAATCAATGGTATCTAGTATAGTATATTAGTTTAGTGATCTTGCATTAATGTACTATTTAGGATTTATTTTAGAATATTTGAAGGTAAAATGACCCCAAAGTTTCAGAAGCAGGAGGGTAAAGCAGTAATAGTTGGACCAGCGCCAAGAACTGAGCACCTCTCTGGGGCACCGGTCTTAGAAACTGGTACTAAACAATAGCGGTGTGAAACCTTCATTGGAAGATAATGAAGTGGGAACATTGCATTTACCAGAACATCTTTAGGGGTGAGACCTCCAAGGGGCATGACTCTTAAGGAGATCTAGTCTGATTAACTGTCGGGTTTTCTGTTGCTGAGTAGGAAGAGGGAAATATGGAACCTTATCTGAAGTATCCAGGACAACAGAGGGCTGAGTGCTGCACCAAGAGTTGTCCTTCTTACCCACTTAGCATTCAACCTTTCCTCTAAATAGAAGTCAGAAAAGCAACAAAAAGTAGTTTAAATACTTACAAATTTGTAGGATATATTATTGGACTGCCCAAGAAATAATAAAAATATGAAAATGGAATCACAACTGTGACCATTTTTAACTTTCTTAGAGCACCATACGTTCTTTTTGTATAGGCAGCTGCAGTATATTAGGCAGACTGAAGGACATGTCAGAACTGGGTATAAGTTCTGACTCTGCCACTTTTTAGCCCTGGGAAAATCAGAAAGGGAAAAACTAAATTTTATCATCTATAAAATGGGAATAATAATCTTTCTTTTATGAAAATTAAACGAGATAATTGTGTTTAAATGAACTTCTTAATCAACAAAGTATCATAGATGTTTCAGATAGTAACAAAACTATAAGGTAGTCCACAATGACTATGTAAGAATCATTGTTATGAAGTGTAAAATAATTTAATTTACAGTATTTAATAATAGTTAAGACAGTATGAAATGCTTTAAATTCTCAATTTACAGTTCGTCTTAATGTAGCTTCAAGAAAGCAATCTAAGACTTTTCAACACCTTTTAACGGGATATTAGAGCAGAAGACATATACATCTCATACGGCAAAAGCAGAATAGGGCTTTTCTTACTCACTTGAATACTGAAGGAATGACCCTTAACCAGATGAAAGCTCAGCACAAAAATAACTGGCTATTTTCTCAAAATTGCCAGCTAGGTAGAGTGATTCCTAAATGATACTTCTTGTCAGCAAGAAAGATGATCTGAAGAATGAACAAAAATAGCCTCTGTTTAACAGCTGTGATATCTATAATTTATAAGCTGTGATCATCTCTCATCAGATTGTCTTGATGTTTGGATGAGAATGAATGTTTGAAATTTCTATATTTAGTACTTCTCAGAAAACAAAATTTTGTTGTGTCCTATTCTTTTTTATCAATAATTTCAATTTACATATAAACAGTGTTCAAGAGACTTCATGTTTGAGGAATGTGACCTTGAAACTCTACTGGCATGCAGTGCTATAAATGTCTGACTAATCCTTAATTACTTATCCCCAAACAGCAATATTTTTTTAGTTTTAAAATTTTTTCTTTGGCAAATAAAAATTGTATATATTTAGTATGTATATGTTTTGAAATACATATTGTGGAATGTCTATGTCAAGCTAATTAACAAACGGATACGAATCTTTGTGTGTGTGTGGTGAGAAGCAAATAAACTTTAATCACTGAAATACGGAACAACATTAAAGAATGGGACAACATGAAGGAAGGAAAGGAGGGAAGGAAGGGCGGCAAAGAAGGAAGGGAGGCAGAGATCATCACTTTATTACCTAATTCTTTGCCAGTCTTTTTTCTTTTTTGGGGGGGGGCGTGGCGAGGTCAGTCTTTGAACACGCTACCTAGGCATCATGCTTCTAATTTCCTCTTACCACTCTTTTCACTTCTATATCACATTTATTCTTCCTTTAATATGTGGCCTTGTATTGGCCTCGCCCTTCACAATTCCTCTGTCGCTCACGTATTTTACTTTCTGTGGGCAGAATGTTGTTTGCCTTTCCACGTCTTTCCCATTTCCCTCTTATACAGCTGTATCACATTTCGGTACTATATGTTTATATAAGCGCGTGGTAAAACTACTTATTTATATAAGCATGTGCTAAAATACACTCGAGCAAATACCGTGACTGAGATTTTTTGGAAAACTGTGGGCAAATTAGTTACAACTGAGAGCTCTGGCGGAGAGGGTCTCTTCTATCTACAGGACAAAATAATTGGGAATTACAGAATAAGTAGAGGAGGACAATTCAAGAGCGCACAGAGCTGCGTGCGTTCTCCCTGTGCCGCGACCTGCATCCAAAAGCCTCAGACGAAACTGAGGGGCTTCCTAGAGGCTCTTCTGCCACTGCCCTTTTGACCAGGGCCCTTCCCGCAGTCTCCCCTCTCGCCTCTTCCCTTTTACAGCCCCTCGCTCCCCACACCCGAGGCTCGTCTCTTCTTCCAGTTTGACTTCCACGTCTTTCCATTCCCTAGAAACGGGCCCCAGCCTCACCCCCCATTTTCACCCCCTTCGGTTTTCCTCAGAAAGGGCACCCTGGCTCCCTCGGGACCCTCGCCCACCCCACTTCGCAGCACCTGCCGCATCCGTCCCTCACTCGGACCCGGCGCACCTGGCGCGGCCCCTCCCGCACTCCCGCCCAGCGCCCCGCGTCCCCGGCCCCCGCCGTCGCTGCCTCTGGCTCTGCCGCAGGCGCCTCTCACTCCCGGGAGCCGGCGCCGCGCGCTCCCTCGGCCCCGCCCCGCCCGCCGCTCGCCCGTTGCTTCCCACCTGGGCCCGGCGCGCCCAGCGCCCCCTCCCGGGACCCCGCGCAGCCCCGTGCCCCTCGCGGCTCGGGGTCCGCCCCCCCGCCCGCAGGGCCCGCTGCACTGTGGGTAGGCGGCGGCAGCGGCGGCGGCGCGGAGCGGCAGGCGGCGAAGCGAGGCCGCGCGCGCGGAAGATGGCTGAGAAGCAGAAGCACGACGGGCGGGTGAAGATCGGACACTACGTGCTGGGCGACACGCTGGGCGTCGGCACCTTCGGCAAAGTGAAGAGTTGAGTACGCGCTCCGGACCGCTGTGCGAGCTGCCTGGCTTGCGGGAGGCCGGGTGGAGAGGCGGGAGCCCCGGGCCTCGGGCGGGCGCGGGGCTCGGCGGCAGGTGGAGCGGCCCCGGGCCGCGCGGAGCTGGGGCCCCGGGAGGGTGGCGCGCACCGCCTCGCCTGGCACCGGCGCCCGGTTCCCGCAGGGTCCAGGGAAGGGGGCGGGGGTGTGGGCTGAAGACGGGCGTCCTGGGTTCCAGGTCCCGCGCCCATCCGCCTTTCCGGAGGTTGGAGCAAGGCACTTCTGTCTTCTCTGGACCTCAGTGTCCTCCTCTGCAAAACCGGGAGATTGGACTCTATCCACGAGGCGCCTCCCAGCTCTGAGCCTGTAGGCTCAGGGCGGGGATCATGCACGCTGAGGACTGAGGCGCCGTTTCCTGCCGGGTGCCCTGTTAGGTGCTTTACATGGGATCTCATTGAATCCTACAGTGACTCGGTCAACATGTCCTCACCCTTAAGGTGAGAAAACTAAGACCCCTAGAGATGGAGTAACAAGCCCAAGGTCACACAGAAATGGGCAGTACCAGAGTGAAGTCTAAGATGTCCTCCAATTCTGGTCTTGCCGGGAGGTCCCTGCCATCCCCAGATTCCTTCATGTTCCAGGACTCTCGGTTTTTGGGGGTGACTGTTTGGGGGATGCTCCAGGGGCCAGAGGTTGTGAGTCTTTCTTCCTGGGGTGTTGTTAAACGCTGGAATGCAGCTGGATTGGGTCAGAGGTTAATTAGAACAGAGAGGTCTGAAGGTGGTTGTGTTTGTAAAATGGCTATGGGAAGACTTCTGGGGTAAGGGAGAGAAAAAGTTTCCTTGGTGTTTGGAGGATTGAGGTTGAGGAGGTCAGGACTACTAAGGCATATTCTGCTAAGGTCTGTCTTCATGGAGATAGGATCCCATTTTGGGTGTAGGAAGACAGGCTGCTTTTGAAATGTTATACTTTATTAGAGTTAAGTTAACTAGTAAGAATAGTTAAGTGTTGAGCTTTCATTTGTTTTCTTTTTTGTTAATTAGTCACATGGGATTTAATTAACCTGCCTTCTCTCCGGAATAGACACAGTTGTTTATTAAAAATACTTTGTTGTAAATCCAGAATTATAAGTGAAACATTGGCTTTTTTTTTTTTTTTTTTTTTTCTCTTTGCTGAAGAAATGCTGAGTAGGCAGTCTGGAAATTTTATTCTGAGGTCTCTATTTCCTTGTAAAATTCGTATTTTAACCCCAAGTCAAGGCTGTTGAATGAGTAGAAGAGACTCATTGTTCATTCCTGTGGTAAGAATCAGCTCCTGTTTTCTTGCACGTGTTTAATACCCATTCATTTGTTCAAAAAACTCTGAGCACCTGCAGCGTGGTAGGCACTGTTCTAGGCAATGAGGATACAGCAACGAAAAAACGGATCTTTTCGTGGAGCTTTCTAGTAGGGGAAGGCAGACAGTAATCAGAATATATATGTAAAAGGTATATTTAATTTTACTGAGAAAAATGAAGCAGGGAAAGGAAGATAGTTTTGTGAGGTTGGCAGTTTTCAATAAGGTGGTCAGACAAGGTGGTATTTTTGCAATGACCTAAAAAGTTTGTAAAATTCTTTGCGGTTCTGTGAGGGTTATGAAGTCCTGGGTTATTTTTGAAAGACCTTATAAGTAGAGTGGATAGTTAGAATATGTTTAAGATGAATACAGGGCGATCCAGGGATTGTAAGGGATACAGTAAGCCTGTAATGTTACTTGTCATTTAGTATCATTATTAAGGACTATTGTGTTACAACATTATACAGTTGCTCAAGCAAACAGTGCCTTTGACATTTGGACATGTACACTCTCAAAGTTATATAACTTAACCCTATGTCCTTTCAAATTGTGTTAAAAATTTTTGCTGGTCTTTTTAAGTTTGTATACTGTAATCTGAATGTAGAGTAGAATACCCATCAGATCAATCAGTCCATTGTCAAAGACAACTTAAATCTCTTGTGTGTACTTTTGAATTGTTTCCAGGCACTGGCTTCTTAAAATATAAACAGAAAGAACTTTGATTTATGAGAAATCCTTTTCCTGGAGAACCTCTGTCCAATGAACAACCAGTTGAAGGAGTTTTCCTAACACTGTATTAGATCCTCTGAAAAGTGATACTATGGTTTCCTATCCAAGATTATGATCAGTACAATTGTTTAATAAAAATTATAGAAACTGCTACAATCTACAGTTACTCATATAATTCTTCAAGGGACAAGTGAAACAAGTCTTTTTTTTTTTTTTTTTTTTTTTTAAACTGTGGCTCATGCCTGTAATCCCAGCACTTTGGGAGGCTGAGGCGGACGGTTCAGTTGAGGTCAGAAATTTGAGACCAACCTGGCCAACATGGCGAAAACCTGTCTCTACTAAAAACACAAAAATTAGCTGAGCGTGGTGGCAGGTACCTGTAATCCCAGCTACTGAGGAGGCCGAGGCAGGAGAATCACTTGAACCCGGGAGGCAGAGGTTGCAGTGAGCCGAGATTGCGTCACTGCACTCCAGCCTGGGTGACAGAGCAAGACTCCATCTCAAAAAAAAAAAAAAAAAAAAAAAAACAGCTTTATTTAGGTATATTTTATATATGAGATTCATCCGTTCTAAGTGTACAATTCAATGATTTTTACTAATTTTGCCAAATGTTGCAACCATCATTATAGATCAGTTTTAGGACATTTGAGGACACCACAGTAAGATTCCTTATACCCATCACAGTTAATCTCTTTCCTACCCTCAGTCCCAGGAAATCACTAATCTGTTTTCTGCCTGTATAAATTTGCTTTTTCTAGGCACTTCTTCATAAACATGATCATTCAATATGTCATCTTTTGTGTCTAGCTTCTTTAAAAATGCTTTTGAGATTCATGCATGACAGAGCATGTGTCATTAGTTTGTTCCTTTTTATAGTTGAATAATATTCCATTGTGTGGATATACCACATTTTCTCTATACAAAACCAGTTGATGGTCATGGTTTCAAGTTTTGGGCTATTATAAATAATGGCATTACGAATATTCACATGTAAGATGTAAGTCTTTGTGTGGACATATGTTTGCACATAGCTTGGGTAGTTAACTAGAAGTAGAATTGCTGGGTCATATCATAGTTTTATGTTTTACTTTTTGAGAAACTGCCACACTTTTAAATGGTCACACCATTTTATAACAGTCCCATCAAAGATGTATGAAAGTTCCCTTTTCTGAGTATCTTTGCCAACATTTGTTAGTGTCTGCCTGATTTATTACAGCCATTCTAGTGGGTGCGAAATAGTATCTCATTGAGGCATTAATTTTACATTTTCCTAAGGACTAATGATGTTGAACATTGTCTCATGTAATTACTAGTCATTTGTGTATTTTCATTGATGAAATGTCTGTTTATATCTCTTGTTCATTTTCTAATTGGGTTGCTTGTCATCCTATAAGTTGAGTTATGAGGATTCTTTGTAAATTATGGATACAGATCCTTTAATGGATATATTTCGCAAATATTTTCTTCCAGTCTGTTGTGTCTTTTCATTTTCTTGTGTCTTTTGAAGTATAAAGTTTTGAATTTTCATGGGATCCAATTTATTAGTTTTTAAAATTATTTTATGGACTATGCTCTTGATGTCATGGCAAGAAATCTTTGCCTAGCCCAAGTCTCAAAGATTTTCTTTTATGTTTTCTCATAAATATTTTATTATTTTAGCCCTTATATTTAACTATGTGATCTATTTTGAATTAATTCTTGTGTATGGTGTGAGATAAGGGTGTAAGACTAACTTTTTGCAGGTGGATAACCAATTGTCCCAGCAGTTTTTGTTGAAAGCAGGTGCATTTTTAATTGCTGTAGATTTTAGACATTGCAAAATGAATTTCTACTAAAAAAGCTAATAAGAGATGATTTAATTTTAAAAGGTTGGCCAGGTGTGGTGGTCCATGCCTGTAATCCTAGCATTTTGGGAAACCGAGGCAGGAGGATCCCTTGAGCCCAGGAGTTCAAGACCAGCCTGGGCGCATAGGGAGACCCTGTCTTTGATTGATTGATTGATAGATAGATAGATAGATAGATAGACAGACAGACAAATGGTTATAAAAACATGGAAATGGAGAAGCAAGGAACATCTTATGTGCTTTCTCTCTTGACTTTTTTTTTCTTATTTATTTGTTTATGAATTAGCTTTTTTAGGGACTGTGTTGGCCAGGCTGGTCTCGAACTTCTGGACTTAAGCAATCTATCTGCCTCAGCCTCACAGTGTTGGAATTACAAGTGTGTCCTACCATGACCAACTTTGACTGTTATGCTAATTATACATTTAGAAATTTTAAGCCAAGCACAGTGGCTCACACCTGTAATCGCAGCACTTTGGGAGGCTGAGGTAGGTGGATCACTTGAGGTCAGGAGTTTGAGACCAACCCGCCTAACATGGTGAAGCCTCGTCTCTACTAAAAATACAAAAATTAGCCTGCTGTGATGGTGTGCGCCTATAATCCCAGCTACTTGGGAAGCTGAGGCAGGAGAATCACTTGCACCCGGGAGGCAGAAGTTGCAGTGGGCCGAGATCGCGCCATTGCACTACAGCCTGGGTGACAGAGTGAGACTCCATCTTAAAAAAATAAAAGAAGGAAATAAAGAAATTATAACTTCAGTTGTTGATATATCAATTTATGGACCAAAGTTAGGTATAAAAAGCAAAAATTGAAAATGGAATAGTTTTAATAGCAGTAGTTTTAATTTGTTTTTTAAAAGTATATGGAAATCTTTGTATTTGTTAGTAAAGCCTTATTTAAAATGTTTTAAATTTTCTCCTTCATTAGTCTGTTGTATTATTAAATTGCTGGGGGACTGTTTTTGGAAACAGATTATATGGGCTGGCAGAGTTTATAAGTAATGCTTTTTATCTACTAAAAATTTTTCTCAGCCGGGCTTGGTGGCTCAAGCCTGTAATCCCAGCACTTTGGGAGGTCGAAACGGGTG